GCACTCCAGTCTAGGTGACAGAGTGAGACTCCAACTCAAAAAATAAATAAATAAATAAAAATTAAAATAAAAAAGAATCCTATTGATAAAGTCAGCATTATCCCTACCCAAAAGAATGGTTACTAAACCTAAGATACTTAGGTAATGGCAAAGACCGGAACCATTTGCTTTCTGCCTCCCAATAATCTTTTCCACATGCATTTGTGCCTTGTTAGTTGTGTTTTAGGCAATTATAAACTGCCTGTGAGGACTTTTGTTTTTTGAAGTAAATGTGGTAAGGGGAAGACTGGTAGGAGTGTTAGACTCCTGCTTCTCTCAAAGCAGCTGGTGAAACATTCTCTGGAAAAATAATAATAGATCTCATGTTCTATGGTCATGTTGCTTTAAATCCTGTTGCAAGCTACAAACTATTTTATTCTGATGTGATCAGATATAGGCTAGCACTAAGCATGCGTATCATGTGACCAAAGATGCAGAGTAGCAAAGGGCTGCTAAATCCATAAGGAAAAGATTAATTTTTATAAATGCAAAGTTCATCAGTTTCACTTTAAATCCAATTGATTATAAAGGCTAATGAATCTTTTGACATGGACTAAAAGTTACTTCCTAAATTCTCAAATTGCTACATCTTTAGGCAGAAAAATCTTACAGAGGCAGAAAAACCTTGGGACATTTCAGCTAAGATGACTCTAATCTATTTTACACTTAAGCTTAGAAACATTATCTATTAAACTGAAGAGCCCAAGGACTCAGAATACTAATTCAGGGGTGGGGGGTGGTGAAATAAGCCAGCAAACACACCAGCAGCATAAACATTGGGCAACCATTTAAAGATTTTCTTTACTGTTTCACACATTACCCAAGGGGAAAGTTGTTTCCTGTTAAAATAGCTGCATACCCTTTAATGTTATCTGAGCAATCCAATGTCATCTACAGGTAGGGACATGCTATAGACTGTAGAGAAAAAAAAGTCCTAAGAGGAATACCAAGAAGGCATGCTTCAGCAACAGCTTTCAAGTTGTACACAAGAGCCTATGCTCTGGAGACCTGGCTGCCCTTGCAAGCCTGAATATTATGCTAAAGCGTGTGGTTACTGACAGTGACTAAATGTATTGGCTAAGGCTCAAAAAGACCTTGTGAGACCAAAGTAGGATTTACAACCATTCTTTCCTAAGCACAATATGGAAGGGAGCTGTCAAACTGATCCAAGGCTATCCTGCAGTGGTGCCAAGAACTTCAACTTATGATTTTTCTAATCGACTGGAGGTTTGTTTTTTATATGCAGTCTCTCTCAGTCTTGTTTAAAGTCCCTAGCTTTGGTATATTTGTCTCCTTGTATTCAAAGCATTCAAAACTATTAAAAATAACAAAGAAAAGTCTCACATGTATTAACCATTTTTTCCCAAGATATTACAATAACAGGAAGAAAACCAGGTAAAATAGCAAAAGGATCAACGGGTCTTGAGGTATGTATGACTGCTGAAGTTTTATGAAGCATAAAGCACAGGTTGTGATTCAAATTTATCACCTGAAATCAAATTCAAGGTATTCTACTTGGTGGCCCATAACTGAGAACTGAGAAATATCCTAAGGGTTCTAGCATTCTGTTGCATTCCCTTCACAGCCTTTCTGCCTGAAAGACCAATTCTTTCTTCTTCCTGGTCTCGATCTCCAACTGCACAGAGATCACTTTTACTTAATACTTCTCACTTCAAATTTAACAATTCCCAAACTAAAATTCATTCTTCTGCTTCTTCCAAACTGGATCCTTTCTCAGCCTCTCTAGTTCTAAATGGAAGCTGGGACCAATCACTCAGGCTGAGTTTTGGAAATAGCTTCTACTTCATTTTCTTCAGGAAGTCATATTGATTTTTTTCCTTCAAATTCTCTCTTAAACTTTGTTTTTTTGTGTGTGTGTGTTTTTTTTTTTTTTTTGAGTTGGAGTCTCACCCTGTGGCCCAGACTGGAGTGCAGTGGCATGCTCCCAGCCACCGCAGCCTCGACCTGCTGGGCTCCAGTGATCCTTCCACCTCAGCCGTACAAGTAGCCGGAACTACAGGCGTGCGCTACCACGCCCAGCTAATTTTTTGATTTATTGTAGAGATGAGAGCTCACCAAGTTGCCCAGGCGGGTCTTGACCCGCAGACTCAGGCAATCCACTCACCTCAGCCTCCCAAAGGCGCAGACTCAGGCAATCCACTTACCTCAGCCTCCCAAAGCACGGGATTACAGGCTGAGCCACCGAGCCTGGCTTCTCTTAAACTTAATACTTGTCTTTTATTTCTCCCAATCACCTACCCCTAAATTATGACAGGCACATCCTAGCTGTTCCTAGAAGTGCTGCCAGATTAACAGTCCTTAAATACCATTTCCTCCATGGAAAATTTCTTGTTCAACAACTTTTACTGGCTTCAAAATTCCCATATTAAATTTAAATTCCTCTGCCTAATTAAGGATTCCAAAGTAATCCTCAATCTTGTCCCACCCTATTCCTTCAATTTTCCTCAAACCATTTTCCCAGAACACACCCTTTAATCTGGTTAAACATGTTTTCACTGGGCCCAAATGTCATACTCTATTCAACCTCTACCTCTGTGTTCCTAATGTTCCTAACATTTAAAATCTATTTTCTGCTACTGACCTAAGTGTTCACCTCAAGATGGATTTTCCTCTCTTTTTGGCTGCCCCAAATCTGAGCCCTCCCCCTTGTTACAATTTCTGACAGATATTATCACCCACTATAAACACTGAAAATATTGGATACTTGCTTTCCCAGCCTTCCTTGCAGCAAGGAGGCACACTTGTGCAGGCTCTGCCTAACAAGGGTATCCACTCCACACTTTGAATAGGGGGGCTGTGAAGGGAGCCACGAATGTAAGAAGTAGCGGGTGGGTGCAGTGGGATCAAACTTCCAGGAAACAACAGCAACAGAGCAAGCTGTAATTTCATGCTTGGCAGTAGCAGTGCAGTTCAGAGGTATGATCTAGGGTATTGAATTGGGCTTTCAGATATATAACCAGGAGCACCAATAATTCTGAGTTACCCAATATACATTTTTTATAAAGCATTTTCTTGATATGTAACATACATACAGAAAAGCACACAGCCTAACAAATGTAAAGAAAAAGCACACATAGCATTAAGCCTACAGCTCAAAGAATGTTCACAAACTGAATCCAACTGTATCAAGAAACAGAACATTACCAAAATAGTTCACCCTTGAACAACACAGGGGTTAGGGGTACAATCCAAAATCCCTGTGCAATTGAAAATTCACATGTAACTTTCTGTTTTTTTGAGTTGGAGTCTCACTTTGTCACCCAGGCTGGAGGTCAGTGGCATGCTACTCACAGCCACCGCAGCCTCAACCTGCTGGGCTCAGGTGATCCTTCTGCCTCAGCCTTCCAAGTAGCTGGAACTCAAGGCATGTGCCACCATGCCCGGCTAATTTTTTTTATTTATTGTAGTGATGAGGTCTCACCAAGTTGCTCAGGCTGGTCTCAAACCTGTGGGCTCAGGCAATCCTCTCACCTCAGCCTCCCAAAGTGCTGGGATTATAGGCGTGAGCCACCGTGTCCGGCCCACATATAATTTTTTTTAAATTATTTATTTTTTTCATTACTTCGGTAGGTCCTTAACACATATAACTAACTTCTGACTCCCCCAAAACTTAACTAATAGCCTGTTGACCAGAAGCCTGACCAACAACATAAACAGTAGATTAGTATACATTTCGTTGTTCAACCTCACTAATCATCAAGGAGATGCAAATTAAAACCACACTGAGATACTACCTAACTCCAGTCAGAATGGCAATTATCAATAACTCAAAAAATAAC